GAACCGCAGATGTAATAGTATGGCATCAAGTGAGACAAAGGAACACAGAAAATTAAACACTAGGTAAGACTCTTCCTTGACTAACAAATTTAGAGGAACAGAAACTAAGCTGTAATTTAAAAACATTAAATTATGTTTTTAATTTATGGATTATCCATTAAATTATGGATACTTAGATGTTAAAGCAACCACTCTACTAGTAACTAGAAAAGATAAATATGAAAGTAACAGAACCAACCACTAAGAGCTGAGTTCATACATACAGCAAGAGAAGTTTCCTTTGTGCATTGTCTATTAAGCTAACTTTGTAGTGTAATGAATAAACCTGTCTCATAATTCTCAAACATAAGTAATACATATTCTGGTATTTGCAAACTATGAAATACCACATAATTATGAGGTCACTGGCACATTTAGTGAATGGTAATTTCCATGTGTGTAATTTCTCACATAGACTGTACCTGCTGAAGGGCCAGTATACTGTTCCTGTCTACATCAAGTTGGGCCATTTTCATTTTCTCTTTCAAGTTAAACAACATCTGCTGATACTCTAGGAGTTCATTATCTTTTGAAGACAAGATTTTCTAAAAAGAAGATAAAATACCATCAGAACACTTGAAATAATTCCTAAAAATAATTAAAAGTATTAAAAAGTACCTTCCATTCTTCAACTTTTGCATTTACAGCTGCCATGAGTGGATCATCTTCCTCATTCTTTGCTTTCAGCTGGTCTGAAAGCTCCTGAACCTAGAAATGCCATTTAGATGAGCATCATATGATAAAAATGTTTTGCTTAACCAATGTACAAACACACTACATCAACCACATACAATTTAACAGATTAGCATTACAGCAGCAGGGGAAGGTCATGACTATTAAGAACAGAGTATCACTAACACTTTGTACAAAAAAAATTTTGTGATGTACAGTCAGGTTTCAAAATTTGCACTAAATTTAAAGATCACACTAGTTTTAGAGAGTGTTATTTCAGTAGAGTGTGTGTTATTAACTGGCTATGTTGCATGTTTTTTAATTTAAGCTAAAATACAAAAAAAGTCCAAATCTAAAAAAAAATTATATTCAGTAATAAGAGAGTCAGTTCTTACTTGAAATTTGTACTGTTCTTTCTCTTTTCTTAACTGATCCATAACAATATCAGATTGTTGCACAATTAGCTTCATTTTGTTATATTCATCAGTCATCTTCTCCATTTCTTGTATTGATTCCTCAATATTCTTTCTCATTTCTTGGTTTTGAATGTCTAACTTCTCATTAGCTTCAGTCAAATTCTGCAATATTAAAGAAAAAGCTGCTATTAAAAAGTGCACATTAATACCTGAATAAGCACTAACTGATAGCTACCTCATATGTAAGACTTGAAAGCCTTACATGAAATTAGCACAGAAGACAGTATTTCACCTCTAGATCATAAATTTCAACAAATCCTAAGAGCACATAAAAGATACATTGCCAGCAACTTCGTTACCTCTGCCAGATTCACAAATGCAAACGATATGCATCACGTAACCCAACTGCATTAGTAATTCCCTTACTTCACATGACTTGATCTGTAAATTGACATAGCTGTGTGAAAAACACTATTGCCAGTAACAGTCTAACAAACACTCAGTAGCATGCACAGATTTTACCTGAATTTCATCCAAATACTGGACAAGCTCAAAGTTCTTTTTGGACAACTGTGATCTGTAATCAGAATCCTCTCCTCTTCGTAATAGAATTGTTTCTTTCTGAGAATCTATTTGCCTCTGATAGTCAACTACATCTTGACGCAATTGTTCATTCTGCACAGAAAGCAATCCAAACTTAAATCTATTTTGAAGAGTTGAAGACAAATTTGTTGCTTTTCTAGCAAGCTAACACAAAGAGCTAAGACAGTCAAAACCATTCCAGATTCCTACAGTCTGCTTTTTAAAGACTTAGAAGCCTCACCTTTTTCTTCATGCGTTTTTTCTTTGGATTAAAAAGGAGAGAACAAGACCAAAAGAACAAAGCATGAAAAAATTAGAAATTATCTTTGCTTTAGGAAAACTAAATAGGAATCAACATAAAGACAAAATAAAATAGTTTTCTATATACTTGTGCATGCATGTACATACATACAGACACATATGTCAAAGGGCATTTTGAAGAATGATACTCAAGGTTTACCTCCCAGGACATTAATTTAACTTTTGCTGTCTGTTTTATTCTCTGAGAGGCCAAGACTACAGGTATTAAATGCTATAAAACATATATATATATTTTTGAAATAGCTAGAAAAAAATGTTTCAAGAGAATGATTAACAAGAAATTTCTAGTAATAAAGAATGTTAACTTCATCTTTGCATTTATTGTTATATTAACTTTTGACTTTTTGTAATTTTATTTTAACCAATCAGACAATCTTAGCAAAAGCAGCAAGCATAAACCAAATCCTGTCTAATATCTATCAAATCCATTTGTCAATAGTAGTTAAGAAGAATACTAGAAATTCAAAACACAATGTCCAGACAAAATTAATGCACAGGACTATTTAAATTCATATGTGGACATCTCCTAACCTCAATTAACTAAGTTTCATTGGAGCAGATGCACTATATATTTGGTAAATATGATTAAAATTCCATTTTCTCTTTGTACCAGTAACCAGGAAATGTTCTAGAACAGAATTAAACATCATGCCACACCAAAGATTGTAAATACAGAAAGTTAGTAATATATTTTTTAAATACAGTTAAAAATACAGTAAATCATCAATAATTCTTTACTAACCTCTCTCCTTAATTTGATGTTTTCATTTTCCGCATCTTCATTTCGAAGAGCAAGCTAGAACAAGATGGAAAACCCTTACGTGTATCACTAACACCACAAACTAGGAAAACAAAGAACTCCAGAAATAAAACAGAAAACAAATGCACAGAGGTTGTATTTCATCAGAGTTTTTTTTCATTTCAGAGGCCCTTTTCAGAATATTGACTTTTTGAAAGATGTGCCAGAAGAGCTCTTAGAGAAATGTCAAGCTGAAGTCCAGTCCTTCTTACCTGTTCATTCACTTTCTTCTCTTTTTCCAATTCTTTTTCTGTATCTGTTAACTGTCTCTCTTTTTGTTCTAATTGTTTTTCCAGTTGGTGGATCTCATCACGTAAAAAACGAGTATCACGACCACCAGCAGATCGTTGTGCCATCTTGAGAGCATTAAAAAATCATTATAAATATAGTACAGTTCTTCAAAACAGAAAGAACTAAAAAAACAAAGCAGATGCTAAGACTAACATTCCTACGTTCAGGAAAAGCAAGAAGAAGAGTTAACTAGCTTCTTTTACTAGATTAAAATGCTAGTCCAAAAACCTCATTAAAAAACCCCCACCAAACAGCAATCTATAAACTAAGAAAATTTTAAAACATACCTCTAATTCATTTTGAAGTTTCATCACTTTTGTTTTAAATTGATTTTCTGTTAAAATAGAACAGATGTCATGAATTATTCAACAATGGAAAAGGTACATAAAACAACAATGGTTAACCATAGTCTTTAAATATTTGGCTTCACTGAAGCAATTGACTTCAGAGAAGTTGGTATTTTATTCAGTTCCCTAAATTTAAAATAAAACCCTAAAAAAATACATTTAACAAATCATTTAAGAACAGCATAAAAAGGCTTGCTTACCACATTTGGCTTGCTCTTCCCCAGCTTTTTCAACTTCTTCTAGTGCCAACTCTACCTCTTGAGCTTTCATCTGGGGAAAAAAAGGATAGTAGACAAAGAAAAAATATTTACTACTAATGTAAATTGAAAGAATGTTCCATAGACCTCCTGTTGAAAATGACGAAAACATTTACAAAAGAACATTGATTTTCTCTCTTTAAACAAATGAAACCCCTCCCATTTTTCCCCATGCTGACAATTAAATTTGGATTGTTGAAATATCTTCTTTAGTAATTTATTCTACAGGGCTATCTAAACATTCAAAAGCATACTGCTGAGAATTAAAAACAACAAAAAATCCTCTCTAAAACCAATGTGCTAACCTATGCTGCTGTTATTTCTTGCTTTCAGTACATTTATGAGTAAATGCAAGAAAGTATGATAGATTTATAGGGTCAGTTTTAAGATGGCGGTGTTTCTTCATTCATGGTGACACTTCTATTAACTCTAAAACATCAACCCACCACAAAAAGTTCTATTAAAGTTAAAATCATTACCAATAACTTAAAATATCTAACCAATTTTTATGATATTTGTTTGCATTTTCCATCTAGAAAACTACGGTTCCTTAACTATATAACTATGTTAGTCCTGTTCACTTTACTTCCTGCTGCTATATGGGATGACATATTTCCAACAGCTACAAGCAGATACTCTGGTGCAAGCAGATATTTAGCATATAAATGCTCTTAGGAGTAACCAGTGTGTTCAATGCAGGAAAAGAAAAAAAAAACAAACCACACCCCAAGACAGTAATAATGCTTTCATTTAAACAAAAAATAAACAAATGTATCTGCAGAATTGTAGAAAGCGAGGATTAATACAAACCTTCATTAGCGACTGAGTAATTTTAAAAAGGTGTATCAGTTGTTCTGGAGTTTCAGTTTTTAAGTCTTTCCCATCAACCTAAGGAAAGGGACAACAGTGATTTTATACAAATATCAATGAAATCCATAAAATAAATCATTTATGTATGTGAAGGACCAGAGACACTCTAGGGAAGAATGCATAACAAACCCCTTATGTTCTGTTTTCCCCTTGAGTACCTTGGACATCGTCTCCAGCAATCTATCTGCTAGTTTCTCTTGACGAGGCAGAGCATCTGGATCAACTTTCATAAGCTTCTTCCAATCTAAAATGGGTGCCATACTGAATTTATAATTTTTCCTGAAACAAAAATTAAAATAACACTTACCAAACATTATCAGTGCCAATTAAAGGAGGCTGGCCACTGAACCACAAAAGATTATTCTAATAACTGTTATTGATTTTCTAACACTAATTAACATTGTGTTCACATTTTGGTCTACCATAAACAAGGAGACTAGAGTAAAACCATTTTTTCTTTAAGTTAAAAATTACATCATGCATACTCAAATAACTCTTGACACTGACAGTGGAGATCAGGACATATGTGAAACCTCTATTTTAACTTTAATATCCTTCTTTTCCTCCCTACCTCTCAGTGGGGTATTTTTATGTTAATGAGCAAACACAACTGGATGTCCTTTGAACCAGCCCTTGTAGAGGAAACATCTTCTTACAGTCACAAAATCATTATTTCTAATATTTAAAACACAGCCAACACCTGTTTTAGTTTAATACTATGAGAATCCATTTCTTGACATTCATTTCCAAGATATTAAACTCTTGTGTTAAATATCCTTTCCTTTTGATTAGAACACTTGAATTGATAAAGAACAGTAAACAACCTGGAAACTGACAAAAATCTGATCAGAAAGTGGTGCAAAGTTTTTTTCCTACTGCTTACCTACTTGTTGCTGTGGGCCACAGTGACTTCGCATATACCTGAAAGTCAGTGCAGTATCTGAAAAAGGCAGAGGAGATTGGAATTCTTGGATTATTCTGTTCTCTGGAGCTGTCTCTAGCCTTTATTACCAATACTTCAAAAATTAAAAAATATCTGTTTTAAACGTGGCAGAATCTAATATACTAAATTGCCCTAAATTATGAATATGGTATAAATGGTTAAGAAAATTAAGAAAGAAATAAAACTAACTAGAATATTACATTTATTATTGAAAAAAATAGTATTACAGTAAGGATGTATATTTTATAGAAAAAAAAAATCAAGCTCAATCAATAACTGTAACAATGCTTTCTGCTGAGCACAATATTTTGAGATCTGTTCTATCATGCACCCTGTTCATCATTCAGCAGTTTAAAGACTCAACAACTGAAACTAACTTCCTTAATGAAAGGCTGAACCAGTGTTACTTTCCCCAAAAATATGCCTAAGCAGTCAGAAAGAAAAGCTGTAAGACTTTGAAATCCAACTGTATGCTTAAGGAAGGATAAAAATCAACCTTTCCTCATCTTTTCTGAATACATGAACTACTTGAGAGCTCCCCTATATTTACCATTTCTTCAGTGTTTGCTAAATGTTTTAGAAAACATGCATTCCATATAATCCATGACTTCTTAAGGATGACATCATAAATACATTCTTGTTTTTCTGCTTTGTCATAGATGGCAAAGGAAAATATGACAAAATCACATGCAGGCATGTACTGATCTCGGCGCTCCTAATTCTTCAGTTAATTGAATACTACTTGATTTCAATAACATACTTGTTTAAGGGTGGGGTTTTTTTTAAAACATATTAACTTCTTCTTAATCAGTGAGATGTAGGAATTATGGGTATGAAATGCCAGACAAGCAAAGCTCTTCTGAAGACAAATACACACCCTTACTACTGTCAAGGGTAGCCACTTTTGTACTCTCAAATCTCCTTTTCTCTTAACTTATAAAATAACGTCTTAAGAAAGTATCAGTCCTAAAATTTTATCCAAAAGGAGAGATATCTGTACATAAACAAAATAATCCAACTTGTTGGGCGACCAGCTACAGTAAGGTGGGGGAGCACAACCTAAGCATACAAGTATGTTCATTCTGTGGAACATACTAAGGCCAACGAGAGAGAACTTATTTAACTGAAGAGTTTTCCATCATAAAATTTAGCTCATCCCTTGCCCTCAACTAGTACTTGCGTTTTTAGTTGACAGATGGTCTGTGTCATGAGACATTGAGATCATGGCTCTACAAAAAGTGTGAAATAGATGTGCATTTGACATTAGTTATCACAAGATTTTCATGACTTACTCAAGAAATCAAACATGCATAAAATGGCTAGATGTTGCAAAGTTCAGCTAGGGCAGACAGAAAAGGAGGTCTGGTGGACATGTCTAAGTACTTTCAGAACAAGAGTAATGTCCTGTGCTGCCTACAGGAAACCATGTAAAGAAGCAGCTAAGCTACGATGCAGATACCTTATCACCACAGTGAAATTAAGGCCCAGTAGGAATAATGTTCTTTTTCCATAAAGATGTGTACAATGTGTAGTACACAGTCATGTATGCTTGAGCGAGACTGAATACCAAGAAGCACCACAGTCACGCAAGAGATATGCTCAGTCAACTCCATCTTAGTTTACCAGGACTAACCCAGCTTACACCACTTCTGATTTTCAAAATTACATTACACAGACTAGCTCTCGTCTACTAGCTCTACAGAGCACTAGATCTGAACTACAAAGCTGCAAACTAAATGGGATCTTGTGCAAGGTTCCTATTTTCTTCCAGGTTGTATATCCCAGCCCTGGGAACGCTATGGTGACAGATCGCGATCCCTCCAGGATGCTGCTGAGACACAATTTTGCCGCCATTTCATCTGACTCTGCTGAATTAACAAATTGCCTTATTTTGCGTCCACCTCCATCGCGGGGCACAGCTAAAACATCTCTCGAGGTCTGGTACAGCGGGCTGTAACCTTCTCCGGGCACCGCGCAGCGACGACGCCCTGCGGCCGGACGCTTCTTCCCGGGAC